TGATGGGGGAAGGGGAGTGAATTTTGTCTGTGGGGGAGGGACTGGGTGTGCCTTTAAGGCAGTAGTAGATGCAGGGGATGTGAGCCCTGGCTTTCACTTCACACAGATTGGCCTCAAATCATGGCACCGTTGCCAGTTTGCCTGTCTTTGGAGAAGTGACCTTAGTTTAGGTCACTAAACTAAATCAGTTCCAGTAAAATGGAACTGATGGTGATAGCTCCCTCTTGGGGTTGTTTAGGATTAAAGGAGCTCCCTTTTGTCCAGCGTCTTGCATTCAGTAGGTGCTCAACAGGCGGGAGTTGTTTTGATTATCGCCCCAGGACCTCTGGAAGAATTGGGATCAGAGGCTGCAGTTGTCCCCAAAGTCCTAAGCCCTGCCAAGCCAACCTGTTTAGCCAAGGTTAAAGCTCTGAATCTGTAGGGTAAGGACATAAATGTGGTGGAAGGTCACCTGTTGATGGCAGAGGTGGGAACTGGACACAGATCTCCTGACATCTTTCTACTCGACCTGTTGATGGGTGAGCCTTGGGGACAGAGAAGAAGGGGGGCCTTGGACATTTCTAGGATACTTCTGTGTGAGGAAAGGGAAGACTGCTTTGGGGGAGGCTCAGCCTCCCTGGGAAATCTGTTTACCTTCAATTGTAGCTCTCCCTGACAGACCTTCCTCCTGTCCCCAGTTTCTCTTTGAGGTGGGCATATGAGGGTTCATGTTTGGGAGAAAGGGTGTGGATACGGTCAAGAATCCCCCAGGGGTATCTATACCTCCAGCCTGTACATGGCAGAGGCTCAGTAAATGTTTGATGAACTCACACCTGGGTGATTGAGCCCCTCCCTCATCGCCAAATAGTGACCCTTTCCTACAGCTGTTCTCTGGCCTCAGCTGAACATTTCTGAGGCTTCCCTGCCAATCCCAAGTATATGTGACGTACTGGTGTACCTTTGCCTAGGAAAATGGCTGCATCCTGGGGGAAGCAGAGTAAAAGGAGAGTATTTTGATAGGATTGCTTCATTTCTTGACAGGATAAAGCTGACTTCTTTTTTGTGGACTGGGCCTGCTGAGCCCTGGGCTGGGGAGGAGGTGGGGGAGAGGGGAGATGAGGACTAGGGCCATGCTTGTAGTTTTTCTGTAAATGTGCCTCCACTGTCTTAGTTCCAGCAGGTGCCAAGCCGGGAGGGGGGTGTTCTGGGGGTACCAATATGAAACTATTCATGTTTTTAAAGTCTGGAAATGTACATTCATTCACTGAAAACTGAAACTGAACATGTGCTGAATGTCATTAAGTCATGGCATCCCGGATGTCACCTTGTCTTTTAGGTTCCACTGGGCTTTAGCACGGCAGCCTCAGTCTCTGCATTTTCCTTTACATCAACGTCTGAGCTCCTAAATGTTTTCTCTTTGGCACCCGTTTTTTCTATTTGAATCCCACTGAACCAGTGACTGGCAAATAGTGAACTCACTGACTGGGAAATCAAGTCTTTCCACTTGCTTACCCAATTAACAGAAGCCTCTCTCTCTCTCTCTCTCTCTCTCTCCCCCCCCCCCCAATCTCTCTCTCTCTCTCTCTCTCTCTCTCTCTTACACTCACACACTCTCTCTGCAACTCAGAAGACAATGACTGTTCCTTTGCAGACAGATGGAATGATGCTCTGAGAGATAAATTCATTCTGTTAGACCAATACCAGCAAGGGAAGGACTTTCAAGTCTTCCAGGTTCCTGGGCTTACTTATGGACATGATCCCTCCTGAAGGGAGTTAAAAGGCAAGGGGGTCAAGCACTATGGACTCCCCTACCAAGACCCCCATGTTACCTATAAATCAGTTTCCAATCTAACCCCTCCCTGGGGGTTGGGTTACAAACCTCGGCAACCCCAGGGCAGCCTGCCTGGTAATTCCTATTATTCAGCTGTCAGCTGGTTTTTTAAAAACCTCCCTTCCCAGTGATCCAGTTACCAGAGTTTTAGAGCCCATTCCTTGTCTCAGAGAGAAATCCTATAGCCAGGTGAAACAATGGAGAGGGCTGCTGCCTGCTTTGTATAGGGAGCTGGGTTTTCTCTTCTGTTGAAAGCAGCCTCCTTTTAACTCTTTGCATCCCTCCCGGATTGTTGGGAGGGTCTGAACCCGTCTCCGGGCCTCCATACTGACGCCTTTCAGAGCAACTTTGCCTTTCTCAGGGGACCCCACAGCCAACATCAGTCAGCAGAGGAGAAAACAAATTGGTGCAAGGGGTGGAAAGAGAAAGAGAGAGAGAGGGGATTCTCCAAAATAAAGATGGCTGTGGCTTCAACTAGGGTGCTGCTGTTGGTCAGGGATTGAGAGCCCAGATCTCCAGCCAGGCAGGTCCTGACACTGCCCTGTGCTGGAAGGGGAGGAAAGGCACAGAGGAAGGGGTCTGCTTTACCAGTGATGAGAGGTGGGGAGTGAAGCTCCTGACCTCCTTGACCCCTTTATCCCTGACAGTCTTTTCTGGTCTGGCAGCTCAGAAGGCTGGGCCCCTGCTGCTTGACCTTAGAGGCTGAGAACACAGGAAGCCAAGCCACTGGGTGTCCTTCAGAACCAGCCTGAGAGAGCAGGCTGGGAAGGCCTGGGAGAGAGGTCTTAGAAGAAATGTCACTAGAGGGTATGACCCCCCTTCCATCTTGCAAACTACCCAGACCTACTAAGATGATCCCTTTTGTTCCCAGCCACACTCCCCCTACATTGGTGATTTTTAACCTTTTATGGGGTCACAGGCCCCTTTGGGAAACTATTGTAAGCTATGGAGCCAACCCCCCCCAAAAAAAGTCTGTGTGAACCCACATACCCCATTTAGCCAGTTTCGGGTTCATAGACCCTAAAGCTAAGGAGACCCTGGTGAGTTTGGCAAGTACTTGGATCCCAGATAAAAATTTTGCTCTACCAGCTTCCTTGCCTTGTGGAACCAATTCCACCATGCAGAGCTGTGATGAAGCAGACAGAGCAGTAGCAGCTTGGGGCAGGGGGTAAGGAGAATTAGTGTGACCTCGGTCCCCCAGGGCCTGTGCTGCCCAAGAGGACAGATCCAGAGCTGGTTTGTCCTTCAGTTCCATTCTTGATCCTAAGTAATATCCATGGTCATCACTGGCCAGCTTGAGACAATGGCCCAGGAAGAAAACCATAAAGAAGAGAAGGATGGAAGAAAGGAGAAAAAGAGGTCTGTGCGTGGTGACTGTGGTAAGGGCTCCCCAGCGCCCTGCAGGGTGGCTGGGCTTGATTTCCTCATTTCCCCACATGTGTCGTGAATGAGAGGTCACCCTGACCAGCTGATACTCCCTCTTGGCCAGGGCTCCTGGTAAAATACTGTACCTGCTTTTGGCTCTAGCACCTGTTTTTGGACACCTGTCAATTCGTGGTGGACTGGGCTGCAGGCCAACCTTGACGCTCCCCTCTTTCCCTTTTCCCTCTTCTCTGGACTTTGGGGATAGTGTTTTCCTGCCCTAACAACCCCAGCCCTCAATATGCCTGGCTGGCTCTCTTTCAGGTACCCTTTGAAGAAGCTAAGGAAGGAATGGGTAGGGAAAAGGTGCAAGGAGACTTCGGCCTCCTCTGGGCTAAGAGTCCTAGCTCCACTTAACTCAAATCTGTCTGAGTTTATAACCAGAGAGAGCAGCTTGGTGGTCAGAGCATTGTCAGTCCCTACTAACCCTGGGGTCAGGCCCGTCATCGACCACCTAGTCTGTTGCAGGGACTGGCTGTCTCACTGATTTCTGGCTTCTTCATTTATCTTTCCTAAAATGTAGGCTTGGTCAAGTTACTCATCTTCTATAAAATCTTTGCTGGCTCCCCTTTGTCTCCAGAATAAAGTAAATTCTCCAGCCTGGAATTGCAGGGACACCTGTGTACTCTGACCTGAATCTATCTGTCCATGCCCAGCCTTCCCAAACCTTGGGGTGCACCCCATGACCCCTCATCCAGCCTGCCGTGCTCCCAGGACAGATTTGCCAGTTCAGCACTTGATTCTGCTGTGCCAGGCCTAGGCTGCTTGGTCTGTTTTCTTTATTGAAAAATGTCCCCATCCTTCAAGGGCCACCTCAAAAGACGTCTCCCTGAAGCTTTCCCCAGTGTTTTGCATTCTGAATTTTTCTGCCCCTTCCGGGTAGTCACTGTCCCTGAACATTAACATATTTCATATCACATTCCATTATTTTCACATCTTTTCCTCTGAGTAAACTGCAAGCTCCCTGGGGGCAGGCACCAGGTGTTTGACTCCTAACTCAGTATCTGGCACAATGTAGGTATTCAATACATGAGAACTGGCCTGGGGACTCTCGCACTGAGAGTACGAGATCTGCAGGACACATTACTCTCTTGACAACAACCAGCACCACCTCTGGACGCTGCCATAAACAGGATGTGTGTCAACTGCTCAAGCAGCCCTTGCATTCCTGGTCTCTCCTCTCCTCAGCCAGATGCTCAAGAAGACACGAGGGTCCCTTTGGATGTGTTTGATCTGAATGTCACCCACTAACAGCGCCAGACACACGTGTTCTCATGCTTCCTACAGATTTGCACCTGGAGTTTTTTCTGACAGCCTAGGCAGGCGGGGGGGTGCTTTGCTACCAGGCCGGGATCCACAGGGACCCGCACCTTGCACCCAGCGGACACCGCCAGACGCTTCTAAAAGCTTCTGGCTTTCCTCCCCTCCGGTTTGTACGCTCCGTAATTATTCCGGCCATTCCCGAGAAAAAGAAGATAAAAGTCACTTTGGCGCCCCCTCTCTCCCTTCTAATAGAGAGGACTCAGGGACTCTCCAGCCCTTCCCCAGCTTGCGTTAGGAACGGAATCTGCTCGGACTATGGCGCTCCAATTGCGTTTCTGATGGGAGCCGGAATTTCGCTCGGCCCCTTGCAATGTTTCCAAGGGAAGGTTCGTACATTCGTGACCGTCCCTGGCAGCCGCCCAGCCCGGGACTTGGGGCTCCACTCGCCATTGGCCAGCCGTGGGCATGACGCGCTGGAGGCGGGGCCTCATCAGCTGTTTGCGGGATGCCCCGAGCGGGCGTATTTTGGAAACAATACCGCGCGGTGCACAGTGGCCTCCTCCCGCGCCAGCCCGCCAGCTGCCGCTGCCGCCCCTGCCAGCGCCTCCCGCCACCCGCCGCGGCCCGGTGAGCGCGCCAGCGGCCGGGGACCGGGCGGAGTTGGATCGCACCTCCTCGGGGAAGTGGGGAGTGGAGTCGTGCTGCGCTTAGGGGCCCGGGAAGGGTTGGGCTGCGGGCGTGTGGGGTGACCATGAAGGACTGGAGTGCTGGGGTACGGGAACGGGGTACGAAACCCTCATCTAGTGCTCTGCTCCACGAGGGAACTTGAGGGTAGTAGCATTTAAGACCGCAAGCAGTTGGGTCCAGGTGGGTAGGGGAACCTGCGGCTCACTGCTGAGCAGACCTGGGCTCCCGCGAACGGCCCTGCCTCTGGATCTGACTTTGGGGTAGGACAGGGAGTTGTGGGGCGTCCTGCCTCCCTGCGGAGTCTGAAGGCTCCTCTCCTTAACAGCTGGGCTCTTTCCCTCCTTCCCAATTGAGTCTGGGCGCCAAGCCCCCGAGTGCTCGTCACGCTGGACCCTGGCGCGGAGCCCTGGCATCACGACTCGGAGGCTGAGACTCTCTCCTGGAGTCACCCAGGTCTGCTGTGTGTTGTGTGGGTGCGTGAGTGTGTATGCTTGTATGTGTGCGTTCCCAAATTTTAGCTCTTGTCGAAGTTCAGAGTGCGTGGCTACTGCCTTCTCCTGGGAGGAGGAGGCTTAAATTCAGCATCCCTGTTAGAGCCCTTAGGGGCTGGGATGGCTCCAGAGCGCTTTGGTTCCCCTTGCTAGGAATAAAGCTTTCCCAGGCAGTGCTCTCAGGAAGTGTGCTCCTCCTACCAGTTTGGACATCACCTTCTCAACAAGGGGAGTAGAGGGTCTCTTTACAGTATCCCAGTTTACACTTGACCTTGCCCAGCTCCCCTCTGGAGGCTCCCACTTACAGAAGAGCCACCTGCAGTTCTTGTGGAGAATGGGTAGGGTCCCCAGGGCTTGCAGAGACACACCCTATGGCTGCATTTCCCCCACAGTCCAGTCCAGGCAAGGCTTGAACTTTGGGGCTTTGCTGGGAGGGGGAGGGGGAGGGGGAGGTGGCTGGCTTCAAAGGAAGAACCAAGACAATGACTCCTGCTTGTGATTAGCTTTGGAGGGCCCCTTCTTAGGCTGGGATTGCCAGCTTGTAGAGAGAAGGTTGAGGGCAGGAGGGGAGCCCCTGCCAGGTGACTGGCAAGACAGCGCTCCGTCCTTTCAGCCGGAAACTTTGTTTCCTGGTGCTGATAAGCTGAAGATCTCCTACCCTTCTTTGGGAAACACTTTCCAGAGAACACCACATGCCTGTTTTGCCATCCGAGTGGGCGTCTCCTCACCAGGGAAGAGGACAAAGATAGGATCACACATTGCTCATGGACTGGTTGGGATGGAGGGAGTTGAAGCAAGCACCTCAGAGAGAGCTTGCATTTGGGAAAGCCAAGATTCTGAATTTAACTGAGATTCCTTTAAGTACTTTACCAAGCCACAGACCATTTGGCTTGTTCTTCAAAGGCAAGAGACGGAGAGACAAAATTCCCAGGGGATCGCTCAGTGAGTCTGGCAGTGACAAACAGTGTCCCTCTGTATCCTTAACCATTCAGGTAGTTGCTGCTTCGGGCTGCCCCAGGGGTCCTACCAGGTTCCTCCTGTGTGTGTAGGGGGCTGAGTTGGGAGCTAAAGATGCTGGGTGGCTCCAAACTCAGACTTCCAAGAGCCATCAGGTGGAGCAAGAGGAACTTCTTTATCACCAAGAAACTCATGCCAACAACCTGAGTAGTATACAGGCGGTGAGTGAGGTCACAGAAAGAGGGCTGAATTTCACTTCCTTCTGTGAGGAAGGTTATACTAATCTCATGTTCAGCGCTGACAGGAATGGTAGGCTGTGGGAAAAGAAGATTGAAGTCATGGAGACTCGTGAGTAGTCATGGAGGCTAGTGAGCTGGGGTGGGGGAGGCTGGCCACTTTGCCGGATGTTGGACCTACCATCTAGGCCAAGCTGTGGTGGGCAGACAGCCCCCCTTTGCTGTGAGGGCAGTGTCTAACTTGGGTCTTTCTGCCCTTTCTTCCAGGACACACTCTTACCACAGCGTGGAGCCTGTTTGTTGTGTTGAGCAAGCAGGGGGTGGAGACTAGAGGAGATGGGCAGCTGGGCGGGGCCTAGCAGGTTTGGAGGGAACCTGGCTGCCCTCGGATTGCTGGCTTTTGTTTTTGCTGCTGAGCCTGGAGCTCAGCTCAGACTGGGATGAGAGCTTGGTGGTTACTTCTCAGGGCAGTGAGTGAGTGAGTGAGTGTGTGTGTGTGTGTGTCTGTAGTGACCACTGTGTGTACAGCCAGTCACAGCACCCTCTGCCCTCCCACAGCCACTTGTAGGGCCTAGTCTTGTTGACATTTCCCTGGGTGTCCTGAGTACTTGCCGTGGTTGATCATACCTCTGCTATTGCTCAGAGTCAATAGCAGTCAGACTTCATGACCAGAACCAGCCCGGGTCGGAAGAAAAGGCCAAGGTGGGAGTGGCTCTGGGAAGGCCCAGGGAGGAGGTGTGGAGCCTCCTTGAGCAGTGAGGCAGGCCACATTTGGGGAGGGTGTCATCCTCAGTGGTACTTTATCACCAGGTCGTTTGTCATCAGTATCGGGCTCCACTTCCCCCAGGTAGAAGGGAAAGGAGAAAGGAAAGGGGGAGTCCTTCAGGTTCGGCCTTCGGGCAGGGGACAGCACCCCAGATGCCTGCATTGCACCCCAGCAGGGGAGATGGAGCCGCCTCAGTGTGTGGAGGAGCTGGAGGATGATGTGTTCCAGCCAGAGGATGGGGAGCCGGGGACCCAGCCTGGGAGCTTGCTGTCTGCTAACCTGTTTGCCCAGAGCCAGCTGGACTGCCCCCTCAGCCATCTGCAGCTCTTCCCTCTCACCCACTGCTGTGGTCCTGGGCTTCGACCCACCAGCCAGGAAGACAAGGCCACCCAGACCCTCAGTCCGGCCTCCCCGAGTCAGGGTGTCATGCTGCCTTGTGGGGTGACCGAAGAACCCCAGCGACTCTTTTATGGTGAGTGCTCTTAGCCTCAGGACTCCTCCCATAGAGACTGGGGGAAAAGAGGGGACTTCCCCTCCCCAAACCTGCGCTTTGTTATTTCCTTCCCCAATTGAGCCGCAGGGGCTATTGATTCCTCGACTCTTGTCGCCGTGCTTCTCTGCTTGTTCATGCTCTTCACCTGTGCTCCATGGGCACCAACAAAAGCAAATTGCTATGCCATTATTTCTGCCTTTTTATCCCTTTCTGCAGGGATCCTTGGGTCCATGGTGTCTTCTTGGGTCAGAGAGAGGATACCTGGGCTTCAGCTTTTACATCTTGTGGCCAGTTGCGTGGCCCAACCTTTTGTGTCCTGGTAGTGCTATGCCTTCTGCCAATTGGCCAACATTGCCCTGGAGAAGGTTGCCCTGACTCGCTGTTGACCCTGAAGGGAAAAACCCAGCCCTTTCTGGGAGGGAAGGTTTTTGAAGGCACAAGGTGTCACTTGGGACTTTCTGGGCTTTGGAAGGGGAACTGGAGAAAGAGGTTGGGCCTGCCTGGGCTCAGTGCCAGCAGAGGGGCTGTTTCCAAGGCTCGATCAGACAAGACCCCTTCATTTGTGGGCTTAAATGGTTTGTTTTATGAGTAACATGTCCCTCCTCTGGCAAAGGCACAGTGTTAGACACTCAGTCTTCTTTCTTCTTTTAGCACAAAGCTTATGGAGGGAGAAGAAGGGTTCAGAAGCTATCTTGCTATGTCTGATGGAGCATATTGAAGAGACGCTACAGTTATTCCTGGAGGGAGCTACCCCGTAGTTCTTTCGGGAGTCTGGGAAGATGGATAAGGCCGGCCGGCCGGCAGGGAAGAAGGAACAGAGGGAGGAGGCAGGCGGGCACCCCTAGCGGCAGCTCGATTGCCAGCATTTGGTTAGGGTGCAGCGCTGGTCTCGAGGTCTTGCGGTCTGGCCTGGGGCTCCTCCAGAGAGGAACTTGGCTATCCAATGGGTTTGAGCAGTTTTCTCTCCCTAGTTTTAGTTCCATTGCCCAGGGCTCCAGGACCTGAGCCCAGCCAGAGGCAAAAGCGAAGGCACATTTTGGTTTTCTCTTTCTCTCCCTTGCTTTGCTCAACCTAGAACTCTAGAGAACTGCCTCCAGTGCTTTTCCAGAATAGAGCTTCAACCTGCTACTGCATGAAAAATAAATTGTGGTCAAGCGTAGCTTGGTAAATAAGGACAGAGGGCTGGCAAGTTCACCCACGCATATTACTTCTGCCCTGGCACTGCCTGTGACTAGAGAACTCAGGGAAGGCTAGGACCATTCTCTCCTGTTCTCTGAGTGTCAGCTTTTCAACGCTTGGGTAACAGGCAGGTTAGGCTATCCAAACTGGGTGGAGCACCCCAATAAAGTCTCAGCCAGGAGTGTTAGGCACGGGGTAAGCGGTACAGTCGTGGAGAATGCTGAGATGTGGGCCCTCTGTCTTTGCAGGCAACGCTGGCTACCGGCTCCCTCTCCCTGCCAGTTTCCCTGCAGGCTTGCCCCTTGGTGAGCAGCCCCCTGAAGGGCATTGGCAGCATCGAGCAGAGGTACAGATTGCCCGAAAGCTTCAGTGCATTGCAGACCAGTTCCATCGGCTTCATATGCAGCAAGTAGGCATGGGGGCTTGGGGCGGGGGGAGAGTCTGCTGGGGCTGGGGGGCCAGGACCTGCCTCAGCAACTCTGTCTCTGCCAGGCCTCAAGGATATGGTCCCAGAGTTTTGGCCTTGGCTATTATGATCCCCATGAACTGGATGGGCCCAACTGGCTGAGCACTCTTGCCCTCATCTCTGAGCTCCGCCTTGGTTACCTGCCCTCTGTCAGCTTGGGCTTCATAAAAGCGATTTGTCCCACGGTTTGTCAAGAGACACTACAATCTCTCCTAGGGCCTGGGGTGGCTTTCCTCCGCCTTGCTCAACACACTGTGTCTTCTTGAGGCCAGGTTGGGAGATTGTCCCTCACAGTCCCGAGGGGAAGATTTTCAGGGTGCTGCAGTGAAACTGGACAGTTGGGGGTGCCTGGCCGAGGTGCAGCGGGGAACTGGGTAACCAAGGCCGAGGGATGGGCCTGAGTGGGGGAAAGTGGTGGAACCGGTTGTAACCTGACACTTTCCAGCTGGGGAGGCTGCTCCTCATTGTCTCTGTCTGGGAACCGGGACCTGGGACTCTGGAGAGCGAACCTCGGAGAGGCTCTCCAGACTGGCGGCCGGGTGCTTGGCCGGCAGCCTGGCACCAGCCCCGCCAGGGCGGAGCATCGCGTGTCAGTCGAGCATGTGGCAGAGTCCATCAACAAAGGCGGCGGCTGGCAGGCTCGTGCTGGAGGAGCCCTCCGTGCCACGGGCTGGAGGCTGCCCTGCTCTGCAGCCTCTGTCTGGGCCGGCCCCCAGACACTTAACCCTTCCTCTCTGGGCTGGCTTTCTGGATGGCTGCCAAGGCAGGGAGAGGAGCCCAAGCTGAATCTGTGCTAGTACAACCACCACTGAAGCAAAGGCACGCCACCTGGAAATGAACATGTTCCCTACCTCTGGGACTGTCCCAGCAGTGTGTGTGTGTGTGTGTGTGTGTGTGTGTGTGTGTGTGTGTGCGCACGCGCACGTGTGTCTGGAAATCAAGAGAATAAATATCTCATCACTCTTGGGCAGACCCTGAGGTTAGATGGGTAACTTCAGGGGATCAGAGTAGGTTTGACTTACGGGCCAAACCACTGCCAGCACCAGAAGAAAGAGAAGTTGTCTTTTGGTCTCCTGGTCTCCTGAGAACAGACTGCCGGGGGTTAGATATGGTTAGTGCCTTCTGCCAAAGAGTTCTGAGGGAAATCTAGGGCTAGACCTGGTCCTGGTTAGCTCTCCCAGTCCCTCAGTGATCTGGAAGAGAGAGTGGCCCTATGTTTAGATAATAAGGCAGCTTAGCCTCCTCCTTTGGCCCCATGTTCCAGTCCCCAGTCCCTCCGCTGATTGTTTTCTGGAAACTTGGCTTTGAGTCCTCCCTTCAGTCCACGTGTGGACTCACTCTGATTCTGGATTTCCGGCTCTTGGCCTTCTTCCTGCCCATTCACTCTAGCCTGGTTGTACAGGCCGATGGCTGAGACCAGCTCACAGCTTCCAGTCCCGGTGCTGGAGCTGCTAGAGGACATGGGAGCTGTGGGTCTCCTGGACTCATCTACAGGAGTGTCTGGAAGGTAGCTTTCTTTATTCCCAGGAGACCTCATCTCTCTCAACAGTTGTTTCCCAGAATATTCCTCCCTCCATTGGTGAGTCCCTGTAGGCTTGGTGGCAGGCTGGGAGGATAGGACTAGAACATTGCCCAGGGCCCTTTCTTGCTAACTCAGTCCTGAAAGAGAGGAGACGGTCCTCATCCCAAGGTCTGACCCTGCTCTTTGCAGCTGGGCATCCTTTCCCCCAGTCCAGGGCTGCCTCTCCGAGGGCAGCTTTCAGCTATCAGCCAGAGCCACCCCAGCCTGGGGGAGGGGCAGAGCAGCAGAGCTGAAGGAGAACCGTCTCTCCTGCTCTGCCCCTCACCCAAAACTGGCTCCTGAGTTCCCTGTGCCCCTCCCCCTCCTGCCTGCTGTCTACTCCTACCTCACAGTGGCAGGAGGCTGGTCAGCTAAGCCTTTCCAGCCCAGAGCTGGTTTTCCCAAATTTTCCATTACAGAGAGAACCAATCTTTTTGTCTGTGGAATCCTCTTGCTTTTAACCCTGTCCTCCCCACTGACCCTGCTCACAGACCTTCTCCAGGAGCTCATCCTGCAGAAAGCATTAGGATGCTAGCCACAGGCAGATGGAACACTGGCACACAGAGGAACTTTTAGTAGCTAGTTTTTTTTTTTTTTCTTTTTTAAAGATTATTTATTTTGGGGGAGGGGCGCGCGAATGCGCCTACACAAGAGTGGGGGAGGGGCAGAGAGAGAGAATCCCAAGCAGGTACTGCACTGTCAGTGCAGAGCCCAACATGGGGTTCAGGGCTCTGGGCTCAAGATCATGACCTGAGCTGAAATCAAGAGTCAGACGCTTAACCCGCTGAGCCACCCAGGCAGGCGCCCCTTAGCAGCCAGTTTTAAGAAGTGAGTCATTTTCTGACCTTGATTATTACATAAACCAGTCTACTATTTCATATCTAGAAAGTGCTGTTGTGACTCTTACATTCTTTTTATTTTCTTTCTCTGTTCCCTTCCCTAATCTTTGCAGGCAAGGAAACTGAGTTACTAGGATTTTTAAATTTAAGTCTCTAGGCTTTGAGTCCAAAGTCAGAAGGCCCAGATTTGAATACCAGCCCTGCCACCTGCTAGCCATCAGGAAGGCACTTGACCTTGCCAAGTGTAGCACCTCTTCTGTAAATTAGAGCTAATACCACAGAATTTTATTGTGAGGATTAAGTGAGAAAATACCAATGAAAGTTCCAGAGACACAGTAGGTACTCTTTAATGCTAGTTTCCTTTTGTCTGTCTATAAGCTTGATCATCTCTCATATTTGTTCTTGTCAGTTCACAGTGCTTTTCCCACTGCTCCCATCAGGCTGATCCCTTAGCAGAGCTGCCTGCCCTGAGCTCCCCTCCACCTGCCCTGCACAGAGAAATTGGTGTCCATGCTGTTCAGTTGTAGGACTCAGCCTCATTTGTTTCTCCTCAAAGAATGGTCATTCCTCATCATTATAGGCTGAGTTTAGAAAGCCAAGAAACACAACTCCAGACGCAGTAAGACGTTGAGTGGGCTTGGCCATTTCCTTTCTCCTTAGATCTGGAATGGTGTCCAAAGACCAGACCGTGGCCATTGGTCCCTGAGTCCTGTAGGGAGTGTGAGCTCCCACTTTTTGTCCCTGGTTACGGACCTCAGTTATTCTTTTTCTGTATCAGGGGAAGCCTTCTTCCTAGGAGATGTGGACCAGAGGGGGTGGGGGTGGGGTACGATGACTGGGTAGTGCTTTGTAGGATGGCATTATGGCAAATTGAGTGCCATGACCTCAGATTCAAACGGTTGCAAATTCCACTGGATGTCAGTTTTTGCTGGCCATAAGCCCTCCCAACATGCTTCCTAGGGAGCATACAGGATGGGCTTCTAGCTCCATTACCCAACTGATCAGTTCTGGGTGGCTCCAATAGATGGAAAGGCAAGGCTTTGAAGGCAGAAGATCAGTGTCAGTGAGGTGCTTGCTGTCAGCTCTTTGGGTCTCCAAAGCAGCAAGAGAGGTGGAGGCCAAGTGATTGGAAGCAAAAGCCTTTCCAAACCGGGTCATGTGCCCCATCTTCCTTTGACTGGGCCAGGAATAGAACTTTCCTCTCTTTGTTGCTCTGTAGCAGGTGACTTCTTGTGGTCTGCTGACCATGGTCTGCCTTGACTCAGGCTCTGTGAAGGTGCCTTGGTGTTTTTGTGTCTGTCCAGCTTCAGCAGCAAAGAGGAGGTACAGGTTTGTTCCCTCACTGTGTTCATGGGCTGCTCTGGCCAGAAGGTGTGGGTTCTGGTTTCTTTTCATTCCACCTGCCATGGTCTCCTCCAGCATGGGCCTAAGAATGGATAGTAGCTGCTGCTGTCCTCTCTTGTCCCAGCAGCGCTATCTTGAAATTTATGGAGGGTATTTCTGGGCAGTGTTAAGAACCCAAGAATCCTCAAAACAAGTAGCTACTGTAAACCATTGAGTGAGTAAAGCTACAGGAGCATTGGAATTCTTTAAGTCGGAAATGGCTTTTTCACTTGGACCAAGAGTGGTTTCATTGAGAATAGTCAGATCTGCAAAGTCTTTGAATAGTAATTAGACTTTCTGGAAAATGCCATCTGAGGAAAATTTCAGCCACTCACTAAAAACTATCTTTAGTTGTAATATCACAGAAAGGATCCTAGACTTAGAGGCAGACCTCAGTTCACATCCTACCTCTGTCACTTATGAGTTCTGTGTCCATGGGCAAATCACTTAACTTCTCTGAGCCTTCATTTCTGATACCCAGCAGAGCAGATGTGAAAGCCCATTGGAGATTGTAATACATATAACTATTAAGGTGTGGGCAGTTTAACACTTTGGGAAATGTGTCAAAAGATGATGTTAGGATTTTGCTTGGACCTGTCTTTATAGTTCTTAGGGAGCTCATTTGGAAGTTGTACCCAGAGTGGTGTTTACATCTGCCAACAGCCTGGATCCTTTGTTCAGGGTGCCCTTGAGTGCTTCCTGACCCTTTGGGATGCCCTCCTTGTTGCTGAGTGGTTTTGGGGGCTCAGGCTGTGGCTAATGAGGTTGTTCAGGCCCTAGATGTGGCAGCCCCGGGCAGGAGCCCCAGAGATTTGACCTTAAAGTGGGAAGGTCTCTGTGGAGCCAGCCTCTGTTCCAGCAGTGGGAGGTCTACCTAGGAGGGCGCCTGGGGAAGAGTGAGACTGGGGGAGGGGCCGTGGAGGGCCTCTGTGCGTGAGAGCCAGGCCGGGGCTTGGGGGCCCTGTGTTTGCTCTGTGGCTGGCTCTGTTTATATCGCTCACTATATTTAGCTTCTGAGTCATCAGCGTGGCTGACTAGAGGCCGAGTTCCCCACACAACTCTGCACCTGACTACTCTCTCTTCCAGGAGAAGGGCCTTGTAGTTCCGGATAGTTCACTCCCTCCCCACCAAAGCCAGGCCTTGGGAATGGGGGTTGGGTT